GGACTTCTGCAAAAACTTCGTGAGAAAATGAAAACCAGAAAAGAAAGTCCAAAGGAGAACACTTCACATACAGATGCAGGAATAAGACAGACAAAGAAGCAAAAAGCAACACGCAATGTTGAGATAGGATGGATACATTGTGATGGAAAAATAGCCACAAAAATAGCCATTAAAGTCAGAATTCTGAGATTAAAGTCAGAATTCTGACTTTAATCTTTTCCAGTGGCCCTAATCCTCTTCCGTAGCCGGGAGACCACAGTGGCCAATAATATATTACATCCGTAGTGGTTTAACGCTACCATAGAGAATGAATGGGAGACGGTTTAGGGCCGTTTAGGTAAACAATCCCACGGGGAGTCACGGGTGTAATACCGTCTTTGGCCACAAGGTGGAGAACTATACATGTGCGTCAATGGTGTAGAGCGCCACCAGCCCAAAGGGCTGTGATCATGGACAAACAAAGGTACTGCACAACGGTTTAGTGCAGTGATTCCCCGACGGGGAGGCCGTAACTTTTTCGCTTTAACCCACGTTTTTGTTAGAGGTTGGGACACCCAGATTATTGTTTTTTTTTAAAAAAAGAATAGCTAAGAACTGAGACAGAACTTTTATTTGGCTCTCAGACTTCCACACATACAGCTTTATTATTGAGATCACAGATGGAGGCCACTGAGATTTAACCACAACATCTCACATTCATCAGCCTCTTTATTTGTTCTGTCACAAATGTAAAGAGAAAGTAGAACAGACATGAACAACGAGCAGAGATCATTAAACACACTCTCAGTGCTGAGCTCATCACAGTGTTTCTAATAACAGTGTAAACAGAAACGTCACCAGCGTCCTCCCTGCACGAATGCCGCTCTGGTTCCTCTGTTAGTCCAGAGTGTAGATGTTCTCCTGCACCGGCCTCCTCATGCGGATCTCGTAGATGATGTGAGGAGGTTCTTCAGAGGAGAAGCTGCAGAGTTACAAACAGCCGAGTTACTGCCAGAGCGAGCCTCAGCACTGCAGCAATAACTCTGATTCATGTTGTGGAGGTGGTCTGTGCTAGGGCTGAACGATATATCGCATTTGCGATAATATCGCGACATGATCAAGTGCAATTTTCTAACCGCAAAGGCTGCGATTATACTCTGGACATGTCCAAATTCATGGGCTGCA